CCAGATAGTGACGTAGGTATGTGGGGGCGTGTTAGAACGAGCCATTTTAGGTAGGCGTGGTTGACTCTTACCTCTTAACTTAAGAATATCTCTTTGGATTTGAGACTTTAGTCTTTGCAACTTTACAGATCTTCTTTATGCACCAAGAGCTTGTAACACTCCAAAGAGAAAGGAAAACTTTAAATCGCATCATATGACCCCTTTAAAACAGCCGGTGTGATTTTTTTTTTTTTTTTTTTTTTATCGTCATATACAAAAATGTTCAAGTCACTGGGCATCAGTAAACATATCAAGCACAATATTCTTCCACCAGTCCCGACAGCGTTCGGTCTTGCGGCAGTCATTGCAGAAACGAAAGTGGCTGCTCTCCTGGTCTTTTTTTGTTGTCTCATTTAGCGAGCATATGAAAGTTGTGTGAGCATATTTTGTCCATTGCATCAAAATATCTAAACTAGTAGCAGATAAATATACAAATACAAAACATCTCTGTTTGCTACATCGCAAGAAGCAGAACTGATACTGATTAAAACACTATAAACATGAATGCGTCTTCCTCATCTACTTGTAAAACAGGGCGCTGGAAATAAAACAAAAAATAATGAAATAGAGAATCTCGCCAAACTCACTCTCTTACGCAAAACTGGAGAAAATGAAAGAAAGAAGTACTGCAGTTTCCACAGTTCACAATCATCAACGTTTCAACAGTTGTACAAGAGAAATAACATGAAACAACGTGCACCTGATAGTGAGACATGTAGAGTGAACAGCCAGTCACATTAAACCTGGTCGGTGTGAATTTGCTTCACTTCTCATGAGGGTGTCAGCGCAATTCATTTTTCTGTGAAGATTAAGAGATCATTATGAAAAGTATGACGATTTTTAATCTGGTTTAAATGGCAACCGGCGAAAGCAGATATTCCCTATTGGACGATGTATCTTCTAGCCCAGCACTAACAGAATTTGGCTTGATGGGTATTTGGAGAGGAATAAATCCCTTAACATTACTAACAACGCCAACAAGAGTGGATTAAGGCAATCTTGGTTTGATTATTGGCTAAAAGCAGATTATGGGCCAGGCACTATCAAAGCTTTATTGTGGAGTCTCAACAGCACACTTCTTGATTTACTAGAAGTTAAGGAAAATTGTAATTACCAAATTATTGGTTATCTGCTACTATTTAAAACTTGTGTTGTGCATACTTAAGATCAAGTTAAGTCACCATCTTTATAGCACTTCATACAATGCAGATAGTTTCAAATCAGCTTCAAAGTATTTAACAGGTAAATAGTAGAATCAATGATGCAAACCAAAATGAGACAAATCCAAATTCTGCTGTAAAGCAGCTATGGCAAGACAACGGTGTCATTATTCAGCTCCAGACAGGTCGTTGTTGGTTCAGTTCAGTTCTATAACTTTTGTTTTCAATTCAGCTATAAGCAGCTCTATTGAAGATCTATTGTCATTATTCAGATCAACTCGGTCTAGCATATTTTTAACTTGAAAAATGAAAGTTGTCTTCTCATAAATTAAGCAGCTGGGTATTGATGGCACAATTGTGACCCAAAGGAAACGGCAATTTTTTCTTAGAAAGACCTGATTCAGTTTTTCAGAGGAGATGAGAACCACCTGTCTCAACTCAGTCAATTTATTTTCAAAAGCTAGTTGCTGTTACTCCCGAGGAAGTACAGAGTGCAAATATAAGCTGCTAGCTGTGAGCTTGGGCCCAAGCACCGTCACTACCGCCACCTTTAAGAATTATGGTGCGTTCAAGTCATGTCAGATAGATCGTATTTACGAGTTGAATGCACATGAATGCCACCACAAAGTCGTTATTACGAGTGGGAAACTCGAAATTTTCTTTAAGCCCCGAGTTTCCGAGTTGGGGGTGTGTCAATGAGAAACATGGCGGAATCGTTGGATGCAACGTCTGCCTGTTGTATTTTCTTGTAATTTATTAAAAGAAGGTACACCGCCATCTTGTGCCGACTAAACTGACTTGAACGCACCTGACGTCGTAATTACGACTTGTCAACTCGTAAGTACGAACGTCCCAGGAGGACTTGAACACAGCATTAGGAATCGCTTTAGGAAAACAATGCACACCTGGGTGAAATCACGGTAGGCCCACTAGAATCATCACCACCTTTCATCCTGTTAACAACGGCCTTGAGTATCAGTCCCATTATGTTATGTAGTTAAAGGGGTCATGAATTGCATTTGCATCTTATTTTATAGCCCATTTATAATGGAAAGATCAAAATAAATAATTGCCCATTTTCTTCCCTGTTTTTGACCCTCTGGTTTGTCCACTTTTGTTTCAAGAGGTGTGTCTCCTTTAAGACTGCTATGATTGGGTAACATCTTTGCATATGAAATTAGTATACTTTTAGAACTGTTGAAATGATTGCAATTGTAACTTATCGTGGAAGATGTGGATTACAGTGTTGTGTTCACAGTACATCTAAATCATCAAAGATTCTTTTTTTAACAATGTTTTTTTCCAGTGAGCATTGTAGACTGTTGAATGCGATGGTCAGATTTTTTTTCAGTGTGAACTCACAGACTCTAAATGCAGGGATCTCCAACCCTGCTCCTGGAGAGCTACCATCCTGCAGACTTCATTTCCAGCCCTGCTCCAACAGTAGGGTGACCATACGTGTCATTTTCCCCGGACGCGCCCTGGCCAGGATTTCTATATTGCCTAAAATATCTAGGGCAGGGGTGCCCAACCCCGATCTAGGGTTTGGCTTTGTTTGCGTGTGCAGACCGATCGGTGTATGACATCGGTTCCTTGTGTTTTCGAAACGCTGTCGAGGTACTTTGAATCAAAGCAATATAGAAATCCTGGCCAGGACGCGTCCGGGGAAAATGGCACGTATGGTCACCCTATCCAACAGGGTCTGCAGGACACTGAAGTTGCCAATCTCCGGTCTAAATGGACAATAACTTGTAGTAATTTATATTTTTACATTAACTTGATGCTTTAGATGGGTAGAGGAGAATTCCCTATTAGTGGACCTGAAACTGATGGGTCACCTTAGGAAGACATCCAAAATGTGTGCCGTTGGTGTGCCTTCATAATCAAGGTTGGGAAACATTGCTCTATTAAACACTTTTAGGGATGAATTAGGACAATGATTCAGGCCCCACTGCCCAATGTTAGCGCCAATGTTCTTGTGTCTTGTTAAACATTTCATTTCAAGAGCCTGGCAAACAGGATTATTCCCTCCCTTTACTGCTATAGCAGCTTAGACACTTTTGGGAAGGCCTACAACTAGATGTTGGAACATGGATGCAGTATTGGGCAGAGCACAGCAAAGAAAACGATGATACTAAGAGTATTCAATAAGCTCTGCTCACTTTTAACATCACATCTTCCCTATTTCCTTCGCCTCCCTTTTTTTTTTTTGGCTAGTAGAAGAGTTAACATTAACTGCTTCAAATATCAGACCATATCTAGACCTCCGAGAGAGATCTAATAAAGTGGTTCTCAACTGGTCCTGGGAACCCACCGCTTTGCACATTTTGTATGGCTTCCTTATTTAACACACCTGATTCAGATTATATTAGCTTCATGAACAGACCTGAGTGTGTCAGATAAGAGAGACATACAAAATGCAAAGTGGTGAGTTCCCAGGACCAGAGTTGAGAATCTGTCTCTGATAAAATGCTCCTAACACAATTAAAACAGTGGGTTTCTATAAGGAGAGTAAAACTGCATGTCTACCTTTATGCAATTTGTGCAGAAATAAATGTTGCTATTTATGTATTTAATATTGCAACGAAGAGTGCAGACCATCCAACAATAAAATATATATTTCACCTAAACCGGACAATCAGCACAGTCCAATGCACATCTGTAGCACAAGATTATCTAGTTATTCAAAACACGTGGATGCTGCTACATTATGTCCATTTACAGTCTTTTCATTGCATGTCCAGCTCAGCAAAGCCTGCCACTGGCGCTGTGTTCTTCTGCATTCCTCTATACTGAGCCAGCCGACCTCGATTAAGCACAGAGAAGAACTGAAACCTAAGTCCCATTTTCTCAGGGTTAATTAGCATGTCATAGCTGTGGATGAGCTGCGCTCTGGTGGAGGGGTCATGACAGTTCCTCAGGAGGACCTAAAACAGAACACGACAAAGCAAAAGTCAAGAGTTAAAACAACGTCTTTGCCAAAACAAAGGGTTAAACCCCAAGTACACTCCTTAATATTTCAGGGAGATTTGTATAGGGTCAGTTATTAAAACACATACGCATCTATTGTTTTCATATACAGATTGTCAATCATAATATAATCTAACCCTAACAGAAAACATTCTGCATTTTTGAGGTTTTGGGAAGCTTTGTAAGATTTAGCTCACTACTGAGTACAAATTTGTCCCCAAAATATGGTTAAGTAGGTAACTAACAAATACAAAAACTCCCTCTACAAATCTCACTCTAGAACAATTTGATGGATGTCAAACTAATACAAAAAAAAACCCAGAATATACTACATATAAACGCTTGATGCAACTTGGGTTGTGAATCCCTTTTCTTTTAAATCACTTATTCTTAATTATATGATATAACGATATAATCACAGCTTGATAAGATCGTCATCAAATTTGACCAACATCATGCCAAGACACTTAAGATGCTAAATTATGAACAGATGTATTTATATCTTGGACAGTTTTGTCATGGCGGGGCAATACATTTGTGGCAAAACAAAAAGAAACAAAGTGTCTCATACCCTATGCATTTTTTAGTTTATGCATCTTTCATACATTTTTTTCAGGATTCTTTGATGAATACAAAGTTCAAAAGAACAGCATTTAAAAAAAAAAAAAAACTGAAACTAAATTTTTAACCGGTACTCAACAGTAATTTAAAATGTGTTCCACTGGCCTTTAACTCTTGCACATTCAATCTTATACAGGTGCATTTACAGTAAACAAAACTTTGCTCAGGATGCTTTTGGAGGAAGAGCACAGACATTAATATTGTCATTCTCACCTGCAAGCGTGAGTCAATGCCCATGTTCTTCAGGAAGGATCTTTGTGTGACGGGTCCCAAGCAGGTCACCTCATTTCCTGTCATTTTCCTCAGGTAACTGAAGTCAACATCTGCTGTCAAGTCTGCCATGCCAGGTGCCTCCAAGACATTGTGGAGTTGATGGCCTTTAAAGCCCTGCCACAGAAATAAACTTTAAAGGGGTCATAGGATGCTACAATCACTTTTACAAGTTGTTTGAACTGAAATGTGTGTTGGCAGTGTATGTACACAACCACCCTATAATGATAAAAAATCCACCCAGTGTTTTTTTTTTTTTTAATCTCGTTAAATGTTTTCCCCTTTTGAGATTCCTGGCACAATGTTGTAGTTCTTCACGATGAATGCAGCTAAAGTAAACCGTCTCTCTGAGAGCAGCTCGGAAGAGAGGGGCGGGGTCAGCAGAGCTCATTAACATTTAAAGGAAAATTACAAAAACGGCTTGATCTGAAAAGAGCTGTTTTTGACAGGGTAAAAAAGGTGTTTTTTACAATAACATAGTTTGGTTAAAATTTCTCAATGGTACAGACTTTTCATCAAGACCCTAAAGAATCATATCAACTTATGGAAAATGGGCATCCTATGACCCCTTTAACAATAAAACATGGTGACTGCCTAACCCAAATTTCAGAAAACACATCAGTGGTTGCTTTTTGGGCCAACATTTGTGAAATGGATGTCAATGGTAACAATTATCCTGGAAGAGGATGTGCATCTATACTGACCCCACACGCAGTGAAGAGGATGGTTTGAGTGGCCAAGAAGAACTGCAGATGTTATTTGGGTCATTAAAAAGCCTTTGCTGTCATCATTGTAGACAGAAAGATGATAATGCAGAAAAGCATCTCATCCTTACTGTGAAGCATGGTGGTAGAACTTCAGTGTTATGTGACTGTTTTTCTTCCAAAGGCCCTGAACAGCTTTTTAGGATACATGGTATCACAGACTCCATCAAATATAAGGAGATGATAAACAATACCTGACTGCCAGGAAGCTGAAATTAGGGTCACGGTTGCCTATTCCAGCCGAACAGTAATCCAAAGCAAAACACTAATTAGTCAGGCATGAATCGATTCAAATTTTAAAACGTATTAACTGATCAATTGCAACTAACTTTAAAATTTGTTATTATAAATCTCTTTACATTTTGAATTCTCAAATTAATATAAAATCAGTGTAAGGGAAGTATATTTTAAATATTGTTTTCTGCCATCTTTTTACGAAGTACTACCAATGCCAGTCTCGATTTTTTTTATTCCAAGTATAAAATTATTAAATTATAGCCACGTTATATCTGAAATTGAAAGTCATACTTTTTTAATAAAATAAATGTAATTTAAAATACTAATTATCAGAATTGATTTGGTTTTGGGGGTGTACTACAATAGGTTTTCATGCTTGATTGTTCCAAAAACGCATTATTTTCACACATTTTACATTATTGCAGCCCCTCTCTTCCCAGTCCGTCTCAAACACCCTGTTCAGTTCCTGTACGAAATGTGCTTTGACTGGTTAGCTGGCCCAGTGCGTTGTGATTGGCGAACCACTTAGAGCAAGTTCCAGAAATGTCACGCCCCTTACCATAACCACGAGTTTCATCTGCCAGTTCGAGCTCCATTCAGACCCTGAGAAAGCTTACGAACAAGAGGATCATTCAGAACCTTTGCAAGCACGAGTTTTACAGGTCGTTTCAGAATGGTATGTTATTTATTTTTTTCTTATACATTTTAGATATAATGTTATACACTATTTATAAGTAACTGCAGTTACTGTATATAGGAAAAGGGCAGTGATAATATGTATTCAGTGTAGTATTATTCATTACAACAGTATTACCTAAGCTGTAATAAAACTTTTGTACAGCTCGCCTGTTCTGGAAGCTGTCCTCTGTAAAATGTGCAGCACACAAGATACATTTTGGAGTTATAATGTTCAGAGTCAGTGTTAAAAATAAGTTTGTCAGCATTAGGAAGGCCAAACAAATAGGTTTTGGAACCGGGGTGGAAAAAACAGTGTCTGTTCGCCATGGTAACAAAACGCTGCTAAAGCAGCTCTTGTTCTTCGTCTTCTCTAGCGCAGCTCAACCTGGCCATGCCCCCTTTTTTTGCATATTCTGTGAGATTGTAACTTCACAATATCACAGGGGCAGCAGCAGGTTTTTTGAGAATGCGGTTGTGATTAAAAATTTACAGCAAGAATGCAGTTGTCAATCCCATAAATAACTGCGCTGTGTGTAATGTAACTATTAAGGACTCAAATACAGGACTGACAGTATTCTGCTACCATGTGAAAGTGGCCAGTTCTTCTGTGTCTACGGTGTAAGAAAAAATGATGAGAATATTGAAGATCTCAACGAAGAAGTACTTACAGACAAAGTAGTGTACAAGAGGCACCTTGGGTTCAACAGTCGGAATGAACGTCCTAAACTCAAACCTTATATACAGTTACAATTTACCTTCTCTAATGAAGTTGCTCCTTTTGTAACAGCTAATGAAGTTCAGACACCCTACTGGTGGTTGATGACCATTTGCTCAGGATGTGATCATCTCAAATGATGCAGAAACAAGCTCATTGGGTTGATGCAGATGAAGTGTAATAACATTTTTTGGCAGGACACTGAAAGTTCGTACAACGAACATGACAAATGTGCAGTTTTATGTAATCCTGGAATTTTAAATTAACTTTGTAGGCTTATTGTGGTCTTTTTCATTTGTGATTTGTTTTTGAACGGAATTAGTTTTTGGTGCAGTTGGATCACAGAATCAGGTCCTGATGTGATAAGAACACTTCAGCTATCAACTATCAACCAGCAGTGAGCTCATAAGACAAAGCCTGAGAGAGATGGCATTCATGGCACTTACTCTGAAAGTATCAGTTTTTGTTCCATCATGTCCATAGTCTACAATCAAGGCTGCACCTCCGTCCTCTGCAATCCGATTGGCCAGTTTCTGAACAATGACTCCACCTTCTGGACATACTTCCACATGCTGTCTGCGATCATCATTCTAAAAAGAATCATTTACAGGATTGAGTGAAAAACAAGGATGTCCAAGATAATGAAACTGAGAAACCTTTTCAAAACAGTTCAAAACACACACAAGTTTTTTTTTTAAACGTATTTTTGAATCCTGAATTCCGTTACATTCTCTGTAGTTTTACCTCCTGACAACCTGAACTAACCATTTCATAAAAAGGTTAATTAGCTGATTTTTTTTTTTTTTTTTTTGGTAACATAACATGGTTACACACATAGATATGTATAGGTAGATGCCACATTCGACTGCTCCAGACACATTGGCGCATCCACCATTTTGGAACGGTCAACATGTCGTTATTCACAGTAGAAATCAATGAGTTTTCCAAGATGCCAAACATTGCGTAACCTCTGGTTAAACCCATCAAGATCAGTTGTGTTAGTTTAGCGAAATCATCTGCTGAACAGATTGCAGATACAGATATTCATACATGTGTATAACTATGGTTGCAGAAGCACAGTCAACTTGCTTTTGACGCAAATGTTTACGGACCTGCTTTGACCATTCCAATATGGCAGACGGCTTACATATAACGGCCCATAGAAACAGCCGCTAATGAGGCATCTATGTATAGATATCTATGGTTATGCCACTTCAGGGGGTCAGGAATTGGCTGGCCGGTGTCACCTCTTTAGCCGGCAGATGCTGAAACTACACCATTACGATACGTTAATTGTTGTTGAAGTGTTGTGTGAATGTACATATTTGCTATTTATTTATATTATTTTATATATTTTTATTTTACATTCCTTATTAACCTTACTATTTGGAAAGCATTCAGGTTAATTGCTGTTGTTTTTAAATGTACTATAGAAATAAAATTGGAAAATTAACTTGCATTTCTTCCCATATGCTGCCTGTGACAAATGTTCTCAGCAAAGGAGGGAGAACTCACCTGTATAAGAATGCCGGAGGCCAGTGTAGGACTGTGAGAAACCACAAATCTCAGTTTTTCTGGACTTTCAGGATCAATATCAACCATCACCTCCCGCCAGCCTTTCTCTGTTCTCTAAAAGCAAAAGTCATTTTAGCATCTAAGGTAATGCTAATGTTTATTTAAATTAAATGTTTGAAAAATTCTTTAAAGTTCATTTATCCTACGTTTTTATTTTATTTTTTTTTCTTCATGTGAATACTGAATTTTACAGTCCGGTGTACCTGAAACTTGTGAATGGGTAAAGCATCAAAAAACTCATGGGCAAGGAAGACACTAAAACCTGGCAAAGGAAAACAGACTTTGGTTACAACAAACTAAGAGCTTCATTTCTCATCAAGGAGAGAGTTTGTGTGATTGCATGTCAAACTGATGCATCCGTACCCCTTGGGACGTCCTCTATCCTGCGGTACCAGTATATAGGCAGTCCAGTACGTGTGGTGCCACTGCGGTAAGCAAGCTGATCATCATTACATGTCTGCATCTTATCTCCGGTTAGACATTCGGCCTGAAATTGGCTCAACTTTGGGCTGACCTCCACAAGATGAACAGAGATATCCGTCTCACCCAGAACAGCTTTCAACTGACTGAAGACCTGTCACATATGACCACCACACTTGTTCATATGAAATTCAAAGTATCCCCACATTTATCCCCAAGTGCATAATGCATTCCTTTTGATACTCTATATTGTATTCAGTGTTGTTTGCGTGTAATATTTCTGTGAACAATGGCACAGCAACCACATTTTGGGGGATATGCAATACATTATACAGCACCCTCCACTAATAGTCACTTTTGGTGCATACGAGCAAAACCTTGCTGTGAAAAACCTTTTTGCAGTTTATCCTCATCGTGTCCTAACCAGGTACAATGAGATGATTCCAACAACTGTAATTTATCTGTCCAGACCAGATGCAAAAGTATTAATCATACATTTTATCCTGGTTTAAATGACAATGTTTTATTAGTATGAAAACAAAGTTATCTGTGATATAAGGGATGAATCATTTCTTAGCTTCAGAATATGTATGATCTACCGAAATAAAACTTCTTTTGGTTTTTATAAATTCATGATTGTATTAGAAAACATACCTATTCATGTAAGTGTGTCAGAATCAAGTATTCAGAGAGCCGTGTAATAATTCTATTTATTAAACTGCAGATACTGTTCAAATACTTTGTGCATCTAAAATGTAACTGACTTAATTAAGAAAGTAAAAAAAAAAACGTTAAGGTTTCTGTTGAATTTTGTGAGGTTACCAGTACCAGTGTAGGCCTGTCACGATAACAACTTTTTGTTGTGCGATATATTGCCCCAGAAATAATTGCGATAAGCGATATTATTGTCATTTTAAAGACCATTTTATGCCACTGACATTTCTTAGCTTCAGAATATGTATGATCTACCGAAATAAAACTTCTTTTGGTTTTTATAAATTCATGATTGTATTAGAAAACATACCTATTCATGTAAGTGTGTCAGAATCAAGTATTCAGAGAGCCGTGTAATAATTCTATTTATTAAACTGCAGATACTGTTCAAATACTTTGTGCATCTAAAATGTAACTGACTTAATTAAGAAAGTAAAAAAAAAAAACGTTAAGGTTTCTGTTGAGTTTTGTGAGGTTACCAGTACCACTGTGTAGGCCTGTCACGATAACAACTTTTTGTTGTGCGATATATAACATAATGGGCGATATATTGCGTCACCAAAATGTATTGAGGTCATGTACATATATTGCGCGATAAGTCGATATATTGATTATTGCGACAGGCCTACCACTGTGCTGAAGTGTAGAGCCTGTGCTTCAGTCCAGGAGAATTATGATAATATGCTGCAAGTTACTTCATTTAAAAAGCAGTAACTGTGTAGCAGTGATGTCTAATAGCTATTTGGCTAAGCTGATGTTTTAGTTTAATTTTTTTTATTCATTGTTATATTTAAGATATACAAAGTGTTTGAACAATACTTGCTGTTTAACAAAAAAAAAAATGCACAGACCACTGTTGTCCCAACATTTTTTGAATTAACAACACTTTTAAGTAAAACATGCTTAAGAAATGTAAGGCAAACAGTTTCCACATATTTGTCTATTAATGTGAACATGCTGGTTAAGAAGACTGTTTGGGTTGAGTTCAGTCAGTGCACTTAAATCCTTACTCAACTTGTACTCAAGTTTTCTAAGTAAACTCATTAGGTAAAGAATGTTCAGTGAACTTGAGCCGTCACTGAAAATACTTGTTTCTCTGAATAAGTATGAAATAGATTTGTTAGTTTACAGTTAGTTTATTAGGCCCCGTCCTAATACTGGGTCCTGGAATGGCCTAGTGAATGCGGCTCGCTACACTTAATATTATGCTTTTTCACTTTTTTAATTTTAGTCAGTGTGTATGTTTGTTTGTAAAAGAGCATAATAGGACCCCTTTAAAACAGAAAATCTTTTACACCAGAGGTGTACAAACTTGCTCATTTTTTCTCTTGCTATTATCGTTTTCTTTTTTATCCCTAGTACTGTTGAGATGGATTATAACCATGTAGTCTGTATATCGCACTGGCTTTTGTACATGATTGAAAAAAGTACAAATATACATGGGGTGAAAAAAAAACCAAAGCGAGAAAAAAGCAGGAACCTCTGAACCTGGAGATTCTGTATGGAGGAATGTTTTCAAATCCTTTGCCATGTGTTCTTCAACATCATTAAGCATTATAGGAGAAGCCATCATTGTGGCACCCAATTTTACTTTAAATAAAAGTGAGTGAAAATTAAATGAAACACCAACATGATAAATTTTCCACAGCCTGTTTTGCTTGTATTTACCAAAGGTGCCAATATTAGTACAATTTATTGCACCTTCCTCTACCAGACAATCACAGTCAATTTTCCACAGCCTGTTTTGCTTGTATTTACCAAAGGTGCCAATATTAGTACAATTTATAGCACCTTCCTCTACCAGACAATCACAGTCTGACAGGGGGTGGGGTGTTACTGAAGCCAAAAATATTCATTGGAGTATTTACCCTCAGGATGTCACTGGCCAATGAACCTCTACCTGGTCCGAGCTCCACTAACTGGAACGTGCAGGATTTCCCAGCCGCCATCCACTCACTGACACACCAGACACCCAACAGCTGTGGAAGACCATATATATTTTATTAAATAAGAAAATCTTTTTATATGGTTGCAAGTATCAGTGATCGTTTTGTTCAAAACAATGCTTACCTCACCGAAAATCTGACTGATCTCTGGTGATGTAATAAAATCACCTCCTGCGCCAAGCATGTCATTTTTCACGTAATATCCCTAAAAAAAGATAACAGCAGACTGTTGGTCTTTGGTGGAAGAGAACTTGCTATCTAATTACCTCTTATAATGTCTCATTTAGAATACTCCAAATTCACTAACAATGGAACAAGGTTAAGAACAAAGTCATGCGAATACACACGTGCGTACAAATCTCCCATGCATACAAATACAAAATAATCAATGCAATTATTAGTCAATGAGAACCAGTTCCCCATGTGACTACATTTCCATTGTAGGCTATAACTTACCTGAATAATACAATAGTATAGTAGACCTTACTGAAAAACTGTTTACTTAATTTCATTTGCACTGTTTATTTCATTTGTATCTTTGTTCTGTTGTATTTATATGTCCTTTTTGCTTGTAATTAGTGTCTTTGCTCTTATTGTATTACTGACTTTATTTGTCTTCTATAATTGTTTTGAGGAACCTTTATTTACACTAGTTAGTTATTAGGTAATTGTGAAATTTCACTGATATCTAAAAAATTACTAATTCGTGAAAGTTGATCATATTGCCCATCAAGTGTGATGGATAATTGTGATTTCAATATTGACGACAAATAATCATGATTATGATTTTTGCCATAATCGAGCAGTGCTGCCAAAAAATGTACATTCATTCTCAGACTTAGATCTTAGATTTTAATAACCAACATTTAGTCATTCAAATAAGGTCTGCGATTCACGTGAAAAGCTATATTTTTACCCAGCGCTAATTGTAAGGACACAAAAAATTTAACAGTTCCATAATATACAGTATGAAAAGTAAATGTGACATGATACATACCGCCACTGGATTGGTCAGTGCCTCCCTCATGTACTCAGCTACTGAAATTGGACCTGTGGCAGTAATTTTGGAGATAAGATGTTTAAGGATGGATGTGTTTGACTCCAGGCTCCGGATGGAAGAGTTTGAGGAGGATCTGTTTTGCCACATGGTCCACCGCACTACAACAGACAGCACTGCATCATCACTCATTTACATATCTGCCTGTTCTGTATCTACGTTTGTGATCTGTGTTTTCTAAAAGATGCAGAAGTCTCCAATCTTCTCCTCTACAGACATCCTACCATCTTGTTAGATTTTCCAGTGTTTGGCTAAGCAATTGTTGGGTTGTTCGCCAAAGTATCGCCAAATTAGATTTTGGTTTATTTTTCATTAAACCCTATTGTAAGCCATCAGATCACTTTTGCATCTTTCTTTTGAAGCCTGATTCTGGTCACTATTCACTACCATTATATAGATAAATATAAGCAGCACATTTTAAAAAATTAAAATTGTCCTTTTGTGGTCTGAAAAAAAAGGTCATAAAACAACATAACAACAGGGCGATAATAATGACAAAATTTAAACTTTTGGGTGAACTATCCCTTTAAGAAAAAAATGTGTTACACAGTGCAAAGGCATATAAACAATACATACAGACCTCGTTTACAAATATACAGTAATACAGTAGACCCTGGTAAAAAGTTAATTTTTATTGTTATTTATTTATTTATCTTGACACAAGCTTCGGAGTAGCATATGTACACATGTGTAACCAGATCTGAATGCCAAAAGTTAAGAAATGTTTTATTTTCCCCCGAGGATGAGTGATACTCGCAGAGCTGCAACGTAGTGAGATCATATGACAAGAATGATGCACACTACTGTTCAAAACGTTTATTGCTACACACTTCATATTGTTTTGGTGTTCTACACTTGTTAGTATTCCATTACTAATATAGCAGTGTATCACTGATTAAAATGAACTCATCTCACCTTCTGACATTAGCAGCTTCAGCCTCAGCAGAGTCCTCATGCTGCTCACTTTATTAGATGCACCGAAGTCACATAACATTAATCATGGGAATGAACACTGACATCCTACATTTACACACCATCAACACGCTGTCACAAGTCCTTCATTCTGATTGGCCGAGGTTTAGCTTCTTCTTCTTCTTCTTCTTTTAAATTTAATGGCGGTTGGCAAACCAACTTAAATGGTGCATTCCCGCCACCTACTGGATAAGCTTCTTCTTCTTTTTCTTCTTTGGTTTTTATTTGGCAGTTTGCAAACGAAGTACATTACCGCCATCTACTGGACTGAGGTGTGAACTCATAGGGATATCAAATTTTATATAATCTACTGTGTAAAAAAAAAAAAAAAAAAATCTAAATCCTGAGGTCATGACAGCCTTAATTATAGATTGTGTGCCTGGCAGACTCACTCAATAGTTTTTTTAAGCTCAATCCATTATTCGATGCCCTCTCTAGTTCTTTCCTACTATTTTCTACATATCAAGAGTACATGTTTTACATTTTCCACTTCTCCACAATGTATACATAATCCTGTCTGGTGTTTTCCTATTAATCTTAAGCAACTATTTAAACTCGTGTGCCCTATTCTCAGCCTTGTTAAAATAGTTTCCTCCTGCCGCCTCAGATTACTATACTTTTTAACTATAACTTCTTTCTGAATGCTATATAAATGTCTTCCTTTTTCCTCCTGATCCCATGTATCCTGCCACATTTTATTAATATTGTCTTTAATGATAACTTTAATTTCTGATTTACTAAGTGGTATTTGCATATCTATGTGTTCTGTCTTCAGGGCTTCTTTTGCCAAACGATCCACCTTTTCATTTCCCTTAATACCCACATGCGCTGAAAACCACGTAAACTATGTATATATTTTTTGTTGAGTTAGTCTAAAAATTAATTGATTTATTTCATCCAAAAGATCTTGTCTACATACAGATTTTCCACTCTGGACACTTAACAATGAGGACATGGAATCTGAGCAGATCTTATACGGCTTAACTTCCTCTACCCATTGTAGTGCTAAACTGATGGCCACTATTTCAGCTGAGAAGACTGATAGGTGATCTGAAATTCTTTTTTGGATGTTAATATTGTATTTTGGGATGAATACAGCTGCGCCTGTTTTGCCAGTTATGGGAACTTTGGATGCATCTGTGTATATCTGTATTGTATCTTCATACCTGGTTTCTATATAGCCTACTGTTGAATATTTTGATATATGCCAGATTTTACAATGTCTTTTATTTCCATATTTACTATAGGAAAGCAGAATAACCATGGTGGGATGACAGTCATACTTATTGTCTTACAGCATGCAAAAGTGTCTTATCCCATTTCCTTTGCCTCAATTCCCAATTCCACAGTTTGAAATTGTGATTTAATGTATCCTTTTGCAGCTGATTTATTCAAAGGCTGTGTGTCTCAGGACTCCAGGCTGATCAGCCTGGTTTTGTCCTTTTCTGTTGGTGTTTATGGTTGTCAAGTGCATGCATGTTTCTGATTTGTTTGTCATGTCTTGGCCCCGCCCCCTCCTTTCTTTTTATTAGTCTATTTGTCTCACCTGTCGTTGCTTGTTGCCCTGCTCATTTGTTGCCCAACTTATTCCCCTTGTGTGTGTTGCTCTGTTCTATATTGTTGTTTGCTCTTGAGCTCTCAGCATCAAGTTGTCTTTCTCTGTCAGTTTGTCCAGTCTAGTTTTTTCCTGTTGGCTCCAGGATTCTTTGCCTGTCCTGCCCTCCATCTCTGTCAACCTCCTGCTGGGATTTTTCATCCTGATTTATGCTCCTGGCCTGCCTGGAATCCTGAGGTTTCTTCTCCAGGCCTGGTTCTGTCCCTCCTACTTGACTCTGGCCCTCCAAGCCTGCACATCTGCTTGTTCCTGGAGACTTCAGTTTGCTCCCTTTGCCACTGTTGAGATTTTCCTGCCATCCTGTGACTGTTGCCTGGCTAAGGATTGATTGTTTTGACTAATTTGTTTGCTCTTTCAAATAAACCCATATTATTATTATTATTATTATTCACCTGCATTTGGGTTCTCTCTCTGTTACTGATCGCGACAGTGTGATTAAACTTCATTCATAATTTTTGGGTTTATGCTCATCTCTTTCTTTCTGTTCTTTGGTTAATTTAAGTCATGTCAGAAAGATTGTATTTACGAGTTGATAAAGCAATAATTGGGAAACTCCAAACTTTCTTCAAGCCCAGAGTTTCTAAGGGTGTGTCAGGGAGAAAACATGGTCGATACAGTGGATGCAGAGCATCTGTATTGATAGTAAATTTGTTAAATTGAATGATTTTTTAAAATGTACAATAAAACTGTATTCTAAGTCGCATGTACAAAATACCATATTGTATAATTACGAAATAATATGTAACAATTCAATATACAGAACCTTAAAGAATTTGACAAAAACATAATAAAGGGAAAAGCATGGGTTGGAGGGGAAAAAAATAAAAAATTCAGAGGAACTGAGATCACAACTTGGAGTGTAGAAAGTTAAAATTTCTGACAGATATTTAGGGGCCAAACCATGCAAAGCCTTGTAGGCATTAGGCAAGCATGAGAATTTTAAACCTGACTTTTTTCAATGGAGGGACAGAAACCTCCACAAGGTTTATTAAGAATATCTCACATCTCTTTCTTTCTGTTCTTTGGTTAATTTAAGTCATGTCAGAAAGATTGTATTTACGAGTTGATAAAGCAATAATTGGGAAACTCCAAACTTTCTTCAAGCCCAGAGTTTCTAAGGGTGTGTCAGGGAGAAAACATGGTCGATACAGTGGATGCAGAGCATCTGTATTGATAGTAAATTTGTTAAATTGAATGATTTTTTAAAATGTACAATAAAACTGTATTCTAAGTCGCATGTACAAAATACCATATTGTATAATTACGAAATAATATGTAACAATTCAATATACAGAACCTTAAAGAATTTGACAAAAACATAATAAAGGGAAAACACACCATATGCACATTCTTTATCTGTAATTTTGTAGAGCTACAAAAAATCTTGCTGTTTTTTTAATAGAAATGGTACATTGCCATTCCTCTGACCAAATGACTTCATAATTGTAACTTCCCAACTCATAAATACAAACCTCCCAGGAGAGCTTGAAAGCACTGCTTATTGCTCTTTCCTTCAGTGATTCTTTATTTAAAATCATAACATTTTGCTGTATCATACCAATACTTCAAGTTTATTTTTGCATTGCAATAAACATTGATTAAACAAAGTTTAATAAACAATAATAACATTGTTTATGCGCTTAAGTAGTTGTTATTTTCTAAACAAGCTGGGTGTTTGTTGGTATTGTTGTTAGAAAAAGGCAATGGTGCTGTCATTGTTTAAAATGTATCACTGTATAGCACAGCTCTTGCCATTAGAATAAACTTAGCTTGTTTTCATTCCTGACAAAAATAAATAAATAAGTACCCAGACTAAACTTTTAATTACCTTTACTTTACTATTGAGATCCATGTTGTCAACCACAGTAAATCTAAACTGCTTGATAGTTTATATTGTTGCAAAATGTAAACTATATTATTGCTCTAATCTGCTGAATGTGACTATAAGGTATTACGATGTTAACAACATGATTTTAAGCTGCTTTAATTTAGACTGTCTAAATAGGCTAATAATAGGTCCAATAATAAATTATAGTTTTTTATAGGGCCTTTAGGAGTTGTGTTTCAAAACACTTTAGAAAAGTAAAAATAGATTGAAATACAAAATACCAAGATGAAAACATGCATTAAAGCACTTTAAGAAGAATATAATATAAAATAAAAACAATTACAAAATAACCATATAAAAGCTACCCTGGAAAAAATGGTTCTAAGAGAACATTTAAAAACACTTAAAGATTCAACATGTCTAATATCAGAAGGAAGAGAATTCCACATGGAGCAAAAGAAGAGAAGGCCTGGTCACCCACAGAACATACATGGGTTGGAAGGGAAAAAAATAAAAAATTCAGAGGAACTGAGATCACAACTTGGAGTGTAGAAAGTGAAAATTTCTGACAGATATTTAGGGGCCAAACCATGCAAAGCCTTGTAGGCATTAGGCAAGCATGAGAATTTTAAACCTGACTTTTTTCAATGGAGGGACAGAAACCTCCACAAGGTTTATTAAGAATATCTCAATTCATATTTGGAAGATTAACCAAAGTTTGGTTAATGGCTTGGAACGACACGAGGGTTAGTAAATGATAACATTTTTATTTTAAGATGAACTATCCCTTTAAATGTTAAAATGGCTTGCCGTGTACTTGACGTTCCCCGGAAGGTTACCATGCGGCGTCAGCACGGCCTGATTATTATTCATGAGCTGATCTGTACGAAAAAGAAAAGTAAGCGTCGAGCCCTGTATAGTCCTCAAACTTTGATTGACACCTGTCCAGACACATCAGATCAGATACGTCTGAATCTGACACAGACGTAGATATAAGTAATGTCAATACAGAAAATGTGTTATTAGCTAATTATAAGATAGATGGTGTTTTAGATGGTGCTGTTTGTTTCAGTTTTTGTATTCTCTTCTTTCTCCTTTTCTTACACATACTCACAATAAAGAGCTGACTAAACCAGAAGTTTTATTCATAATGTAGACGGAGGACATTTGCCTGTATAGTAGTGATGGTCATATTTTTCTGTTTCTCCACAGATTATTTCACGGAAGAACCCAGAGGACATTCAGGAGGTGAGAATCTTAAACAAATTAACTATTGAAATAAAAAAATGACCTTATTTACGTTTATACTACGTGCCACTATTCTTATTGTGAATGGTTCATCAGTGCATATTATTCTACAGATTCCAAAACATCTTCAGAATGTTTCATCAAAATGTAATAACATGATTTGCCACTGAAAGAACTTATATTTAAACGTGTTGTCATTTAGGCTGCACTTAGCATTGGTTGATGTTGACCAATATCCAAATAGCTGTTTAAGCATTATTTTATCATTTCATTTAGACTTATGTTAAATAACAATGTTTTGAAAACGTCGCTGTCATGTTCAGTGAGCGCTGTAGTGAGTTACGAGGCACTCATTGTTAAGGACCATTGGTCTTTATTTGTCTGACTTCCTTTCACTAGAT